ATTGGCTGCTCAAAAATCTAATTTGCATAATTTATTCACACAATTGCTGGTTCTTACTACTTATGTCTAATACTGCGCATTGTCCATTTTAATTGTTCCTAATTTGCACCAAATGTTCCTGTCACACTGTGTACTGACGATTTTTATTGCTCCTTGTATGCCTCTGTGCCGACAGACCTTTTGATCATGCACAATGTTGCCCTGATTGGTTAATCACACTTGTCAAATATTCAAATGACGAAATAGACATCTATTTTTTTACGCTTCGTCACAGTGAACTGAATGACCTTAGGGGGAATTAGGTTCCACACCTGTCAAATTATACTGTAAATTACAGCACGTCATAAAATAGCAACACATTTTTTTTTCAGTTTCCAATAATCATTTTAAATATTAAGTAGATTTATGATTTTTTGTTTTATTGGATTAAATTTACGGTAGTAGAAATGCGTATCTGTCGGGGAAAGGAATTTGCCATGGTAAGTAGATAACGTGGAAAAAAGCTTTAGGGAACTGGATAAACCCGAGAATATGCGTAATTATAGGGGAATAGGCAACCTGTTGCTGTTGGTACCAGTTTTGACTGGGTGCCTAAATAACCTAGCCATACGATATTAGCCTGGCTGCCGATTTTCCTGCGCCATTCTCATTTTTAGCGTCAATGGCGGAAAATCGCGTTCTCAGCAGATCTCTGCATATTGGATTTAGTTAATATTTTACCTGAAAAAAAGATACATGACTGGCGATGTACCCTATTTGGACAGCTTGTCTAGCGAAAATTAAGTACAAAATAAAATGATTTATCGTCAATTTGAAGAAGTTTCTCATAGTACCCAAATTAAATTTATGGTTTATCTTTGAAAATTAAGCAGTCATTGCTAAAATCATGTGGTGGGATCATCAGCAAGCTTGAATATCGGACAAATGATAATTAATGTCGCTGCGTCTTCAAATGATTAATTAAAGCAATTTAGTTCCATATGATGTTTTCATAAATAATATATAATGTACGCAATAAAATTAATAAGTTCTTCATCAAGATATATTTCAGTTGTACCAGCGTGTACACCTATACCGGAAGTGGGTGTAACACGTCACAATCTCGGTCTCGTCTGTCTCGCGAGAATGACAGAACGCCAAAATGGCGGCGCCCATGAACTTATTTCTCAAGTAAAAAATAGTGTCTTAAAACACGAATTTCTCTCTTATAGGGTTGATGTCAATAGGAAAACTGTCATGGTTCCTCTTTTTAAATGATGAATATTTATATTAGACACACATCAATCTATCCATTCCTATTCCTTTAATGAAATATTTGAGGTAATAAATGAATGAACTCACAACCTTTTTAGTAAGGGGGTGTTGTGTAATATGATATACTCTACTGTGACTGAGTCACATGGGTTTACTCAGTGTAGATATTTGTCTCTCTGATAACAGTTTGATAGAATGCTGTAACATGTGAACATATGCTCTAGTACTTAGAATAAAACTTTTATATATTTAACAGTGTTATGGTCATAACTGCCTATAGGTCATTCAGATTATAGTACAAAACTTAGAAAAATCATATGATTATAAAGTCAGTTATTGCATGTGCATGGGTTGCCATGTGATCACATTGCTAATGTGGTCACCTGGTTATTTACATAATTAACTCCTAAATTTGAATTTCTGTTGTCAATTGTTTTTAAATAAATATAAGAACCTATTTCTTTGATACATTTTGAAATTTCTTATCAAGACTGATTTTTTTACATCAAATACTTTTAAAAATCTGTCTCTTAGCTGAATACAATACAGTCTGAAAATTCAAGGGAAACAACCCACCAGCCATTACCTCCCTTTTATACCTAGGTTGGTTCTTTAACGGCTCTGAGTTTATTTCACAGTAAGAAACATTACCAGGGCCAAAAAACCCTTCTTTGTAGAGGCCAAATATAGGCTGCTTCCCCAACCAAACTAGCTTCTTTTTTCCCCAGTTTGGTTCTCAAAATTTCCCAGTCTTTTGAAATTTCGAACAAAATTAAATGATGGTGTTAAATTAAGGTCTTTTACTGCCTTATTAGTATTTCCAAGAAGTTGAAGTGCTTTTTACTTTTCTATTTTGAAGAACTTGTTAAAAGTTTGTGTTAAATTTGAGACCCCTTTTCCCAAAGTAGCCAAAATCATGCATATTTTCCCCAAGAAAAAGGCTGAGGCCCCTTTCTTAAAAATGGTGTTTTGGCCCTGATTACTTTTAAGATAAGATTTGTCAGTGTTATACTGTAAGATAATATCAAAGTTACAACAATTTAAGCAAATTTCAAAACTTTGGCATAGACAGGTCAAGTAAAATGTTATCACTGCATCAATAGAAAAACGTAGTCGGGCTTTCACAGGTCAAACTGCTGCCGGAAAATCTATGAAAATTTACCGGATTGGTCAGTACCAACCCTAGTAGCACATAGCACTGGCATGTATCTCTTTACTGCACAAAATAGATTCTGGAGCTAAAATTATAAAAATCTTAACCGGCTAACAGAGGTCAAACTGCTGGCGGGAATTTGACGTAACTTTACAGGAGTGATGCAGTACTAACCCTGGTTGTGCATATCACCAGCGTGTCCTACTTCTTTGCACAAAGTGGATGCCAGAGCTAAAAATAGAAAAATTTTATCAGGTGTTCGCTAGACTTTGTATATAGCAAATTTATTTTGTAAATCCGATTGGAGGTTGTTAATAGACAAGTAAGATTGCACTAACATATTCTCCCATATTTTACTATTTTGTGTAGGTACGAGGTCTGGTACAGATGTCAGATGATGAAGAAGAGCCTTTGATAGATGATTCACTTCTGGTTACTAATGTGACAGCCGAGAGTCTGGGATTCACCGTTCCTCAAGGAAAACACGATTCTGATCCTGGTCCGGGAACTTCTAAAGCCACAGTTGTACAGACCACTGATAAAACTGGCGCCACCATCCTAACATTTCCTGCCAGTATGGAACTAACATTGCAATACCTGTCTGGTATGAAATTTAACAATTATTTAATGACTCACTGTTTTGCTTTGATACATATTGTATATTATTTAATATTTGTGAGACATGTTTTCAGTCTTTAAAATTAGATAAGTGGTTCCATGTTGGTGTCCAATTATCATCCGATTGATAAATAAGCATATTGTTTGAATTATAAATGTTGACATATCAAGGCTCATTCCCAATGGAAACGAACACCCTTGGGTTGTTGTTTCCCTATCCCGAGTATCCTCTATCTAACCCGTTGATAGATTCTATTAGTCTATTTGGTGTTTTGTAATATTGGTATTGAAATCCCTTTAAGTTCCAAAATCAAAGCAAGGCAGATTTATTACCCAAAATTAATTTCAGGTTAAGGATCAGCATACATTGTGTGGCTTTTAACAGGTATTGTATATAATGTAACACATTTCAAAAAATGACTTCATAAATCAGTAATAAACATTTTCTGTTTGAAACTGTAACATCACAAGTCTGATTAGATACGTTAAGGTGAAAGTTTTTGTTTATTTCAGGTAAGATATCATTTTTGGAGTTTAGTGAGCAAATGGAGAAAGAGAACCAGGTACCTGATGCAGTCACTGACACAGGGTTGGAGGATGTACAGGGAATTGAAGATGTGATGGACACGGGGGAGTTTTCTAAAGATGATCAGGATAAAGATAAAAGTAAATATGTATAAAATATTTATGTATTTTTGAAATATTGAAGATGAAAATAAAAAGGTAAATGTTGAATATTTTTAGCTCACCTGTCACAAAGTGACAGGGTGAGCTTTTGTGATCGCTTTTCGTCCGGCGTCCGGCGTCCGTCCGTCGTCCAGCGTCCCTAAACTTTTACTTTAAATGACATCTCCTCATAAACCACTAAGCCAATTTCATCCAAACTTCACAGGAATGTTCCTTTGGTGGTCACCTTTGAAAATTGTTCAAAGAATTTAATTCCATGCAGAACTCTGGTTGCCATGGCAACCAAAAGAAAAAACTTTAAATATCTTCTTCTAAAAAACCCAAAGAGCTAGAGCTTAGATATTTGGCATGAAACATCTTCTAGTGAGTGCCTACCAAGTTTGTTCAAGTAAAAGCCCTGGTGTCAAAATTGGCCCCGCCCCAGGGGGTCATTGATTTTCCCTATATGCATATAGTAAAAACTTAAAAAATCTTCTTTTAAAGAACCCAAAGAGCTAGAGCTAAGATATTTAGCATGAAACATCTTCTAATGGGTGTATACCAAGTTTGTTCAAATAAAAGCCCTGGGGTCAAAATTGGCCCCGCCCCAGGGGGTCATTTATTTTCCCTATATGCATATAGTAAAAACTTAAAAAAATCTTCTTTTAAAGAACCAAAAGAGCTAGAGCTAAGATATTTAGCATGAAACATCTTCTAATGGATGTCTACCAAGTTTGTTCAAATAAAAGCCTTGTTGTCAAAATTGGCCCGTCCCCAGGGGATCATTGATTTTCCCTATATACATATAGTAAAAACTTAAAAATATCTTCTTTTAAAAAACCAATAGAGCTAGAGCTAAGATATTTAGCATGAAACATCTTCTAATGGATATCTACCAAGATTGTTCAAATAAAAGCCCTGGGGTCAAAGTTTGGCCCCACCCCAGGGGGTCATTGATTTTCCATTTATACATATAGTAAAAACTTTAAAAAATCTTTTTTTAAAGAACCCAAAGAGCTAGAGCTTAGATATTTAGCATGAAACATCTTCTAATGGGTGTCTACCAAGTTTGTTCAAATAAAACCCCTGGGGTAAAAATTTGCCCGGCCCTGGGGGTCATTGATTTTCCAAATTTCCTTATATGTGTATTGGAAAAACTTAAAAAATCTTCTTTGGAAAAAACCAAATAGCTAAGAGTTTAGATATTAAGCATGAAACATCTTCTAGTGATTGTCTACAAAGTTTGTTCAAATAAAAGCCCTGGGGTCAAAATTGGCCCCACCCGGAGGTCATTCATTTTCCCTATACAGTCAATCTTGCCCATGCGACCACGTGTATTAAGCGGTCATTTGTACTAAACGACCATTTTGAAATCCTCCCGTCGATAATCCCTATATAATTGCGTTGTGCTCAACGACTTTTGTCTTACGCGACCAGCGGCCATTCAAAGGCGGCAAATTTATTGATCTTTTTTGCTTTAAGCGACCGTAAAATAATAATATATCACAAATTGTCACTAATTTGTATAATAAAGGTCGACATACAATAGGTGCGAACGTCTGTAAACAAGTGCTAATTGCCATCCGCTTAAAAACTGTAAAGTAATAACCATGCATTATCGACTAATTAAAACCGCCTTCAATGACCGCATGCAGCCAATCACGATTAAGCTTTCTATTTACGGTTAGCGTGAAGGACCGCCTTTTTTCCTCTGCTCTGTGTGATTTAACCTTGTGTAGACTTTTATGTCAGCATATTCTTTTTACATCTTAACATATTGTCGGTGTTGTACAAATTAATAATACGTCGTATAAAAATTGGATTATTTTGTGAACAGTGATAAATAGCTAACATTTGGATTATTTACTGTAAAATAATGTCGAAACGTAAAGTGCTGACTTTGGACGAACGCGTCCGTGTATTGGAACTGTCAAAAAATAAAAGTGCTCGAAAAATAGCCGATGAACTAGGTGTTGGGAAAACACAAATACAAAACATTCTGAAAAGAAAGGCGGAAGTATTGGAGGATGTGGAAAATAACGTTTCTGGGCACCGAAAACGTCCGAGACACACAACTGGAAATGAGGACATAAATGACCTTGTGTTCAAATGGTTTACAGATGTAACCGCCAGAAGAATGCCTGTGTCTGGTCCGCTTCTGCAGGCACAAGCTCTAAGATTTGCTCAAGAGTTGGGTGTTGAAACATTCAAAGCATCAACTGGGTGGTTAGCGTCTTTCCTTAAGAGAAATAATATTGTGTTAGGGACTATGTCTGGTGAAAGGGGAGATGTTGACAATGATGTTGTGAATGACTGGAAGTCAAAGCTACCAAATATCTGTGCTGGATACCATCCAAAAGACATATTCAACATGGACGAAACAGGGTTATTCTACAGAGATACAACCAGGAAGTCCTACCATTTGAAAGGTAAAACAAAAAATATATCTACTAAGCAATTATTTTAGCAGGTCTAAAATTATTATCTTAGAAAAAGAAGAAAAAAATTATCAAACTTTATCTATACCACACTCCTCCCAACTTTATATCTAAAATAAGAGTTAAAATGTCTCGGACACTGATAATGTATTTGAAAAAAGCTAAACCATTATTCAACCTACATAGATGAAATTTCCATCCATATTTAAATCTTAAAAGTTCTACATAACTAAATCTGCGATTAAATCAAATGCACAACACTGATCATTTTTACCTATTTTTCACACTAAATTTAAAAAAGTTATAAAATCAAATTCCAATCACATGTAAAAAATTTTATTGCTGTATGTCTTTATGCATTAATTATTAATTGCAGGAGATGAGCTAGCCGGTGGGAAGCGCTCTAAAGAGAGAATAACGGTAGCATTGTGTGCTTCCATGTCTGGTGAAAAGCTTAAGCCTCTAGTGATAGGCAAGTCCGCCAAACCGAGATGTTTCAGCAGGATAAAACCAGAAAGACTCCCAGTTACATATAGAAACAATAAGAAGGCATGGATGACTTCCGAGCTCATGATAGACTGGCTAAAATCGGTTGATCGTCAGATGAAAAGGTCAGGTCGTCACATTCTCATGTTCTTGGATAATGCTCCAGCTCATCCCAAGGTGACTTTAGACAATATCAAGTTAGTATTTCTTCCTGCTAATACTACGTCTGTTGCTCAGCCCATGGACCAAGGGATTATTCAAACCCTCAAACTGAAATACCGTAGTCGTCAGCTTAAATACATTCTAAGTCAAATGGAACATAGTGATAAAGTAGGTTCCACAATTCTTAGGGAGATATCAATTCTTGACGCAATCTACTGGATAAACGGGTCGTGGAAAGAAGTTGAAGCTTCTACTATTCAGAAGTGTTTCGCAAAATGTGGTTTCACTCAATTCAATGTGCAGGTAGATAATATTGACTGTGATGATAAAAGTGATAATGATGATGATGATGATGAGGTGCCACTTGCAGTTCTAAGACTGAGCAATGAGTTGTTTGGATGTACATTTAGTGACTTAGTGGACATTGATAAAGCAGTTCCAACATTTGACTTAAACACTGTTAACTGGGATAGGAATGCACGGGATATGATAAAAGAAATCAGAGACAGTAATAATGATGATGATGATGATGATGATGACAATGATGATATTCAAGAGACAGGTGCTATTATTAGTATGAGTGATGCAAATGAGATGTTGTATAAATTGAAAGAATTAGCATTGAGCAAAGGTCAAGACAAATGGCTCGAAAGCATAATGACTTTACAGGACAGTTTTGTGAGTTGTAGAGCTGAGGTTGATACAAAGCAATCAAAGATTAGTGACTTTTTCAAGTAAAGAGATGGTTACCATGAACTGTATTAAAAGTTAGAAATAAAGGATAGTGCTACATTAATCACAATTCCAATGTAGCAAATGTAATTTTTGTAGAAAAAAAGTTATTATTGTAGCTTTATTGCTTGATGTTGTTGACTCATTAAAACAGATTATTAAAATAAAGTAATAAATTTATTAATTCATATCATATCTTTTATATGTAAATGTCTTAATTTTCAAAGAATGTTGGAATATATGATGAAATAAAAATATTAAACTTTTAAACTGTTTCATTTCCTGGTTATGTTTTATTGATATTAGTTCATGCTATGACCCGTGAAAAATTGGTTGGAAAACCTAGTTTTGCATTAAGAGACCGTTTTATTAAGAGACCACTTTTGACCTCACCCTTGAGCGGTCTCTTAATACAAGATTGACTGTATGTGTAAAACTATAGCAAAAATTGAAAAATCTTCTTTGAAAATTTCAAATAGCAAAGGTTTGGATATTAAGCACGAAGCATCTTCTAGTGAGTGTCTTCAAGGTTTGTTCAAATAAAAGCCCTGGAGTCAAAATTGGCCCCGCCCCGGTGTCCATTGATTTTCCTTATACGAGTATAGCAAAAACTTAAAAATCTTCTTTTAAAAAACCCGAATAGCTATAGTTAAGATATTAAGCATGAAACATTTTCTAGTAAGTGTCTACAAAGATTGTTCAAATAAAAGCCCTGGGGTCAAAACTGGCCCTGCCCCAGGTGTGTCATTGTTTTTAACTATATGTGTAAAGAAAAAACTTTAAAAAAATCTTCTTTTAAAAATCCCAACGTGCTAGACCTTAGATGTTTAGCATGAAACATCTTCTAATGGTTGTCTACAAAGTTTGTTCAAATAAAAGCCCCGGGCTTTAAACTGGCCCTGCTCCGGGGGCCTATGTACAGGTGAGCGACTTCAGGGCCATCATGGCCCTCTTGTTTACTAAGTTTTATTGTAATATTTGCATTGTTAAGGTGTGCAGTGCTTTGTTATAAGATAGGAATATTGACCAAAATGTCTTCTTGCATCAAACAAATGTATCAGTTTTTTTTCAAACCAGTCATGTGTCCTGTTAACATACAAGGAGGATTTCTTAGCAAGATAAATGTCGGACTTGCACAAATAATAATACATTATAAAGGTATATTATGAAGGGCTTACTTTTATCATGTATTGACAACTATAAATATACCAAATTAGAATGAAAAAAAGCAATGATATGTGTATAACAAGTTTCTTATATACCTAGAAAGGCAAACGAAAAGTTTCTATTTTAAAGTTTCTAAAAGTCAAGTAAATGACCAAAGCAAAAAAATGATGTTATTTAACTTAGAAAGTGTGTTTGTGTATGGGATAAGCATAAGTAACTAATTGTCATGTGTATAAACAAAACAAATTAGTAACTGGTAAGTGTTGGAGGAAGATGTAGTGTAAATGAATTGAAAGAACCTGGTGATTTTATCAGTGCATGTATTTTTATTGGCAGTACAATGTATATGCCTGATATTTATTTTAGTAATAGTGTATGTTTACACATTCATGTAAGGAATAAAATGATATATCCAAGACAATACATGATACCAAAAAAAAAAAAAAATCACAAACAATTAAATAGAAGAGGCAATCATGTGTTACATATATGAGATTTATTTTATTTTCCTCTTGCAGAACAAAAGCAACCTTATAAGAGACGACCAGGAAAGGTAAAATTTTATATATATTATAAGAGTACAATGAAGATGTTTTAGTGAAAAAACTTGGGTTAATTATTTTTCCCTTTAAGTTTCTGATTCCAGATTGTTCCTTGTCTAAATCATTTAAATGATTATTTGAAAAAGAAATTCAATTTGCTTAAACTAAACATATTTTTAGAAACAAAAATAAATAAAAAATAAATAAATAAAATCACAAGGTGGTAAAGTTTGCCTTCTTCAATCTCACCACTGTAAGTTTGTGAACCTAATCAGGGACTTAAGAGGCTTGTAATTTATCAGCTTTAAGAAAATTGAAGTAATTAACCCACTGAAATTTTCTATGGGTTAAGGAAACACCAAACGGGCTTTTTGGGAGAATAACCTACATATGTGTCATAGGTTGTGCATTGACTGTTAAAACATCACATATCCCCATCAGTATGTCATCATCACCATCAGCTTGTCATAATCAACAGCAACTTCTGATTATGTAAACCAGTATGTCATAATTATCACCAGTTTTTCATCATCATTACAAACATGCAGCAATTTGACAATGATAAGATGATATTTTACTTTTCTAGAAGCGGAAAAAGAAATGGGATCTACCTAGTCATTTAGAGAATATGATGGGTGAAGTGAATATGATATTTGCTCAAGGAAAACATGAGGAAGCTATCAACCAGTGTCTAGAAATTATCAGACTTGGTAAAGTTCTATTTTATACTGTTGCAGTCAAGTGTTGAGGGATTAAGGGGAAATCTCTTTTGATAGAGAACTGATCTTGCTTCTGCACTTGTTATCTTGTTTGCTTTGAGATGTTTCTATAAAATTGTTTTGTTTGTATATTTCATTCTATTGTTCTGGTTCTGAAGAATGAAATAGAATGAATTGTAACAATAATAATAGAATTTAATTAAAGTAATAGGTCTTTAACATGAATGAAATTTTATAAACTTGCAAAATACCAAATGGTGAAATCTGTAATATTAAAATAATGTTGTTGTAAATTTTGTATGTATTTTTTTCAGCTCCAAATGCAAACAAGCCATTTCAGACATTAGGAATGATATACGAAGATATGGGAGATATGCAGAAAGCATTACAGGTGTGTTTGAAATTTTCTTACATCTACCTTGTTAGTGTCAATATCCAAGTTTTTATACGCCCGTTTGAAAAACGGGACGTATTATGGGAACGCCCCTGGCGGGCGGGCGGTCGGGCGTATGGACGAGCGGGCGGGCGGCGTCCAATTTTGTCCAGAGCATATCTCTTACATGTATGGAGAGATTTTAATGAAACTTCATAGAAATGTTCACCACTATGAGAAGCTGTGTCGCGCACATGAACCAGGTCTCTAGGTTAAAGGTTAAGGTCACTCTTAGAGGTCATTGAAAAATGCTTGTCCGGAGCAAAACTTCCACATGTATAGAGGGATTTCAATATTACTTGGCACAAATGTTCACTGTGAGGCGGAGTGTCGCGCGCAAGATTCAGGTCCTTGCGGCCAAGGTCAAGGTCACACATAGAGGTCAAAATTCAGATAAAAATATGAAGATGTGTATATGGACCATTTAGTCATCATTTATTGAGGGATTGTAACACAAATGGTCATTATCAAGACTATGGCTGTGATACATATAATTTAGGTCAATATATACAAGGTCGAGGTCACTAAAGATGATGAAATATCCAGATTTTGTCCGGAGCATATCTCCTACATGCATGGAGGGATTTTAATGAAATTTCATAGAAATGTTCACCATTATGAGAAGCCATGTCATGCACATGAACTAGGTCTCTAGGTCAAAGGTCAAAGTCACACTTAGAGCTCATTGAAAAACGCTTGTCCGGAGCAAAACTTCCACATGCATAGAGGGATTTCAATATAACTTGGCACAAATGTTCACCATTGTGAGGCGGAGTGTCGCGCACAAAATTCAGGTCCCTGCAGCCAAAGTCAAGGTCACACATAGAGGTCAAAGTTTAGATAAAAATATGTAGATGTGTATAGGGACGATTTAATCATCATTTATTGAGGGATTGTAACACAACTGGTCATTATCATGACTACGGTTGTGACACATGTACTTTAGGTCAATATATGCAAGGTCAAGGTCACTAAAGATGGTGAAATATCCAGATTTTGTCTGGAGCATATCTCCTACATGTATGGAAGAATTTTTATAATACTTTATGGAATTGTTCACTCCATGCATGATCCAGGTCTCCAGGTCAAAGGTCAAGGTCACACTTAGAGCTCATTGAAAAACGCTTGTCCGGAGCAAAACTTCTACATTCATAGGGGGATTTCAATATACCTTGGCACAAATGTTCACCATTGTGAGGCTGAGTGCCGCAACCAAAGTCAAGGTTACACATAGAGGTCAAAGTTCAGATAAAAATTTGAAGATGTGTATAGGGACCATTTAGTCACCATTTATTGATGGATTGTAGCACAAATGGTAACTATCATGACTACAGGTTTGACACATTTAATTTAGGTTAATATTTGCAAGGTCAAGGTCACTGGAGATGATTAAATATCCAGATGTTGTCCGGAGCATATTTTCTACATGCATGGAGGAATTTTAATGTTACTTTATAGAATTGTTCACCACCATGAGATGTAGTGCCCTGCACATGAACCAAGTCTCTAGGTCAAAGGTGAAGGTCACAGAGCTCATAGAAAAACGCTTGGCTGGAGCAAAACTTCTACATGCATAGAGGGATTTCAATATAATTTGGCACAAATGTTCATTGTGAGGCTGAGTGCTGTGCATAAAATTCAGGTCCCTGCCACCAAGGTCAAGGTCACACATCCTGTGCATATCTTCCCTACTGATTTGTTTTAAGGTTCATTTAACAACACAGTGCCAAGAATAAAAACTTGCTTGCTAGATAACACTTATCCATAATGCCCCCATCTCCATCTAAAGCTTTCGTAAACGGGCGTATTTAGTGACTATTGCACCCATGTTAATGTCTATGTTAATGTTACTAGGAATGTGGAGGAGGTGGTCCATTTGGATATAGGGTTGTTATTTGTTAAAGGATATTTAAAACCAAAGTAATGGGTGCAAGTCAGTCCACTAGCCTGGGTTCCAGTCTGTCTATTTTTTATGTGCTTCTGTTCGGCAAATCGACAGCCTGGGGAAATACGATTTTCGATCAAAGCGCCACCTAGTATACACCCCAAAAATTACGGGTGTTATTAAAGAACGATAATTCATGCAAGAACAAACTAGTTTCTAAAAATAGAAACGGAATTTCCACGAAGTGATCCGAAGTGATCCGAAGCTCAACGAACAGTTACGGAGCCTCGCTTTCAAAACACCATTTCCGATTAAAAACTATCACTCGTTGACAAAGTTTATTGCATGATAAGTGAATTTGATCAACAGGTGTGATTAGTTAAAGAAGATAAAGTGTGTGAGCATCAGATAATTGTGCTGGACTCAATTTATAATGGTAAATGGCGTCAAATTTTCAACATTTATCATCTTCGCCTCGATTTCGATTTAATCATGTTATTTGTTGGTCACGTGCTAATCGGTCTATTAATAGGATTATCTTTAGTCGATTATTACATGGGAAACCCCGCAGGTTTCCCCAGGCGTTGATACTATCAAAACCAGAGATGTTGAGTTATCTATGACAATCGAGTATGAAATAGCACTTAAGTTATGAATAAATAAAAAAATATCAACGCCTGAATCCCAGGCTACAGTCCACTTATTTCAGGCGTGTTATTAAGGGGTCACTGGTCTGATCCTTGGGTTGGGGTAAATTTTTCTGTGCTGGTTGATCTTGCATATTAAGTCTAATGGTCATTTGTTTCTAATGTCTGATTCAGATTATCATGTTAGATTAGTAGTTGATCACTTGCGGATAAATAAGTATTTACTTATTACATTTGCTTACACTATGTCACTTCTGACCATGAACAAGTTTGATGAAATCTAACATTATTAGTTATATTTATTATTGGTGTTATGTAATATTGATTTACATAAATCAATACTGCTAGGGATGTGACTGTTAAATGTTAAAAATTAACAAAACAAGCTTTCAGAATATACCCTTGCAGATAATTTTTCGTTATTATTAAAATTTGATATTTATATCTTTATATTTTCAGTATTCATTGATAGCAGCATATCTAGCTCCGTATGATAGTGAGGAATGGGCAAAACTGGCAGAAATGTGTCTTGAACAGAATGATATTGGCCAGGCAACGAAGTGTTATACTCAGGGTAAGTAACTCTTGCATGGTATCTGATATTTTTACCAGACCATTGATCACTATATAGCCTTAGTATAAACATGTTGCTTTAGTCTATCTTCTTTAATCAGTAATTAATAACAAGATATAACATTCAAGCCAAAATATCAACAGAAAAATAAGAATAAAAAAATTGGTTACAGAAAATGATTGTAGGTGTAGATGTAATGAATGAGAGCTGTTGAATTTAATTTACATCAGTATTTGGAAGAAGAAAACTTTATATGTAGCATGTTTTCTGAAGATATGACAAATTGTATTCTATCTTGTAAATACTGACCATATGTGTTTATCACTGGATATATATTTTCTGAATATTTTGAAATTACAAAGTATATATATATATATATGTGTGTGTTTGATTTATGTGTAGCAATCAATGCAAATGGAGAGAACAAGATTGACTGTATCTGGGAGAGAGCCAGGTTGTACGAGACGTTGAAAGAACACAAGAAAGCTCTTGATGGATATCTGATGTTGCTGCCTTTATTACCAAAATCTGACTCCGAGAGGTACCTGAAGTTAGCATGGGGCATCACCAGGGTACGTCTTGTTTTTTATGTTTTCTGTATGGGACACTGTATGTCTTTTATGTTTAAGTCAACACATGTATGATCTTATCATTTCTTAGATTAACAAGTTATTTTTTAATGTAAAGTATTTTTCTTTGTTTTGTGCATATGTGCATTTTGCTTAGCTTGCTCCAACTTAAATTATTAAATCACCAAACTTTACAGAAATGATCTGATGCAAGTCGATGTAAGTCATACTTGTATTATATAGAATTTCATTGATTTCAGAGTTTTTATGAGCAAGGAGAGAAAAAGCGTGCAATAGATACAATGATGAAGGCATTTACAGACCATCCAGATCATATAACATCTGAAGGTATTGTCCTGTTGACTCATGCATGACCAGTATAGCTTAGTGTTTAATGCCACATTCACTGACCAGCAATGAATGTTGATAAAATAAGATGTTCTTAATTTTTTTTCATGAGAGACATATTTAAGCTAACATTAAGATAGTGAATCTACCCAGAGAGAGATACATAGGGAGAGTTTCATCTGGGAACTTGTTGTATTACCGCGACAGTAACAATGTTACTAAATGTTACTAAAACTCAATAGAATTTATTTACCAAACTGCGAGAAATTAGTGAAAAATTATGCCTGATAGATATGATAGATAGAATGGCATGTGAAATGAAGTTTCTTCAACTGCACTGAAGAATACATAGTATTTAGTTGTGAGTAATATCATCTATCTTTAATTGATTGATCTCTTTTGCATAAAGTAGTCATTAAATCAAACCTTTGAGCTGACAAAAAAAACCCCAAAAAAACAGACAACACAACATCAACACCTCATCCAAAAATGCATGTAATTGGGCAATATATTATGTTTAAATTTCAGATGTGAATTTATTGTTGGAGATTTTGATACAAGAAAAGAAGTATCTGGAAAGTCTAAAGGTAAGTACTTGCTTTCATTGTAATTTTTGCTACAATTTTATTGAAAACTTGCATAATAATTAATGTATCTGTTGTTTGAGAAAATATGAATTACAATGGAATGGTGCAAATATGAAGTAAACTAAATTTAAACACTGAAAACAAATAGACAAAATCTATTTGTATGTGATACTGGGTTAAAAATGATGATTAGGATAAAAATTTCAAAAACATGAAGGGGATCATGTCCACCCATGGAGGGGATTTTGTCCTGGTATGCAAAGGGGATTTTGTCCTAAGGGGATTATGTCCGTACACCAAATTTCATATTTAAGTCCTTAAAAAGTAGTAAAAAACTACTTACTGTTTTATATACTAGTAATGTTTCTGTTGACACTTTATTAAGACATTAACCAATGAACAGAAAGCAGGATTGTTTTTCATTACCAGATGTTAAAGACCTCCATACTTGACTAGCTCAGATTGTTTTTTACAAACAAGTTTTGTAAATTTTGATACAGATATATTTATTTTGTAGATATTTGTAGAGCATTGCGGTGTCAGTTTCACATTTCCAGGAGAGAAAAAATGGTCAAATACACACAACTTGCCTATAAAAGAGGTCAAGGAAAGTATACCAACAAGGTAAAGATTTTATTATGCTCCCCGAAAAATTTCGGGGGAGCATATAGTCTGCGCCTTGTCCGTCTGTCCGTCCGTCCGTCCGTCCGTCTGTCCGTCCGTTGTCTTGTCCGGAGCATAACTTTAAAACCCTTGGAGATAATTTGTTGAAACTTCATACAGTGGTAGAGGGCATCGAGGGGGAGTGCAGTGTCAAAGAACCATAACTCTATTTTGCCCAGTTTTTGAATTATCTCCCCTTATAGAAAAATCTTGTCCGGGGCATAACTCTAAAACTATAAGAGATATCAACATGAATCTTTGTAGGTGAATAGATCTCAATGGGTAGATGTGCAGTGCATAAGAACAATAACTTTTTTCATCCTAATTTTGGAGTTATTGCCCTTTGTTAATTTTAATACTTTGAACTTTGTCCGGAACATAACTTGAAAAGCCTTGGAGATAATATGTTGAAACTTCATACAGTGGTAGAGGGCATCGAGGGGGAGTGCAGTGTCAAAGAACCATAACTCTATTTTGCTCGGTTTTTGAATTATCTCCCCTTATAGAAAAATCTTGTCCGGGGCATAACTCTAAAACTATAAGAGATATCAACATGAAACTTTGTAGGTGAATAGATCTCAATGCGTAGATGTGCAGTGCATAAAAACAATAACTCTTTTTGTCCTAATTTTGGAGTTATTGCCCTTTGTTTATTTTTATACTTTGAACTTGAACTTTGTCCGGAACATAACTTGAAAACTCTTGGAGATAATTTGTTGAAACTTCATACAGTGGTTAGGGGCATCGAGGGGGAGTGCAGTGTCAAAGAACCATAACTCTATTTTCTATTTTGGTTTTTGAATTATCTCCCCTTATAGAAAAATCTTGTCCGGGGCATAACTCTTAAACTATAAGAGATATCAACATGAAACATTGTAGGTAGATAGATCTCATTGAGTAGAGGTGCAGTGCAAAAGAACCATAACTCTGTTAAGCCTTATTTTTGAATAATCTCCCCTTTTAGAAAAATCTTGTCCAGGACATAGCTGTAAAACTATAAGAGATATCAACATGAAACTTTGTAGGTAGGTAAATCTCAATGGGTAGATGTGCAGTGCACAAGATTCATAACTCTACCTTGCCTAATTCTGGAGTTATTGCCCTTTGTTTATTTTTACTTTTTAGCTCGACTTTTCTATGAAAAGGGGAGCTATCCTACTCGCCCCGGCGTCGGCGTCGGCGTTGGCGTCACACCTTGGTTAAGTTTTTCGTACCACCCCACTTTATTTCAGAAGTATTACAAGTATGGCTTTGAAACTTACCATACTTGTTCACCATCATAACCTCCATCTACAGACAAGAGTACATAACTCTGTCAAGGTTTTTGACAGAATTATGGCCCTTTTTTGACTTAGAAAGTGTATTGAGCTTGGTTAAGTTTTTTGTACCACCTCACTTTATTTCAAAACCATTGGAGGTATTGCTTTGAAACTGACCATACTTGTTTACCATCACGACCTTCATCAACAGACAAGAGGACATAACTCTGTCAAGGTTTTTGACAGAATTATGCCCCTTTTTGACTTAGAAAATACATTGAATATGGGTAAAATCCACTTATTGCCTTAACCCTTTGAGATATTGCTTTGAAACTTTTAATGCTATTTCACATCATTACCCCCATCTGTACGCAAGAGAAGGTAACTCTGTCAAGGATTTGTTTTAAAAATTAAGGCCTTTTATCGACTTAGAATCTTGGTTAAGTTTTTAGTACCAGTCCACTTTTTGACTGAACTGTTTGAGATATTAATTTGAAAGTTGGGATACTTGTTTACAATCATGATTCCCAAACATGTCCAGGAGAAGGTAATTCTGTCAAAGATTTTATTTGAATTATGGCCCTTAACTGTCAATGTTTTGTATTATAGGCAAGCACTAAAAAACTTAAAAAATCTAAAAAAATTCATTCCTATCCACTGAACCTGCAGTGTTCAAGGGTATCACACAATTCAGTAAAATAATTCTTCACTAAATATCTTAATGCTCATGGCCATTGTTCACTTTAAAAATACAGAGATTCTTGTATTGCCTTTTACTGCAAAAACTTTTTTTATTGGCAAGCAATAAAAAAGTCGAGCGCGCTGTCTTACGGACAGCTCTTGTTGAATTGTCCAGGACATAACTCGGAAATCATAAGAGATATCATCAAGAAACTTTGTAGGTTGATAGATCACATTGATTAGAAGTGCAGTGCAAAGAACTGTAACTCTGCCTTGCCTAATTTTGGAATAATTGCACTTTGAACTTTTTCCACGGACATAATTCTGAAACTACAAGAGGTGTACTTTCCTGTGTCCAAAACCTATTCGGGGAGCATCACCCGGCTCTAACCGGGCTCTTGTATTATTTAGTTATGATTTTATTGTAAAAGTTTACTTAACATGTAACCTTTTGATCGCTGTGAGCTATAGTAACCTTGAGATTTTAGTTGGATTTGCATTAGTGGTAGCATCTATAATGTATAAGGGATATATTTTCTATAAACTGGTTTTGCTATTGCCCTTTCCTTTTATAATGCCTTTTGTAACTCGCTGGGAAATTTTGACTGCTGGAAATTTTATCATTTAATTGAGACGGATTCATGAGTCTAGATGTGTCAAAGTCCCTTCAACTTTGACTTACCAATGTTCTACTTAAGAAATAATATATCCCAAACTGTGATTTTATTGCTCAATAACATCACTGTTTGGAGTTCGGATGCTGGAAATTATATCACGAGGGCGTAGCCCGAGTGATATAATGATGCGCATCCGAACGACAAACAGTGATGTTATCAAGCAATAAAATCACTGATTTGGATATATTATTTCGATTCTAACACGACATCAACAAATAAATGCTGCCGTACATGATAATTAGATAAACTGCGCCTGATTTGTTTCCGTACTTATTTTCAGCGCGTCACATTTTTAGTGGCTACGTCACGTGTATAACGATTATGTCACATATCTAAATATACAACGTCAAACAGTGATTTTATAGCATAATAATACACACTTTCGGTTCTTCTATGTTCAATAGGGAAAAATGCGGGTCGTGTTAGAATATATGTTAAATATTTTCAGATGTTCTGTACCAGATATGTTACCAATAGACCTTAGAATCAAGTTGGCTGTTTGTATGATACATTCAGAATACATCAAAATTGTGCAGGTAATTTTTTTATTGTGACTGAATATGTTTTAGTCAAAACAAATGACATACATTTCACCATAAATACAATGCCCTTTCTTTTGTAATATCTTCATTAATCTAATAACTTTTGTGATAGATCTCTAACCTGTTTATTATACGCCCGTTTGAAAAACGGGACGTATTATGGGAACGCCCCTGTCGGGCGGGCGGGCGGCGTCCAATTTTGTCCGGAGCATATCTCCTACATGTATGGAGGGATTTTAATGAAACTTCATAGAAATGTTCACCACTATGAGGAGCAGTGTCGCGCACATGAACCAGGTCTCTAGGTCAAAGGTCAAGGTCACACTTAGAGGTCATTGAAAAATGCTTGTCCGGAGCAAAACTTCCACATGTATAGAGGGATTTCAATATTACTTGGCACAAATGTTCACCATTGTGAGGCGGAGTGTCGTGTGCAAGATTCAGGTCCTTGCGGTCAAGGTCAAGGTCACACATAGAGGTCAAAGTTCAGATAAAAATATGAAGATGTGTATATGGACCATTTAGTCATCATTTATTGAGGGATTGTAACACAAATGGTCATTATCAAGACTATGGCTGTGATACATATAATTTAGGTCAATATATACAAGGTCAAGGTCACTAAAGATGATGAAATATCCAGATTTTGTAAATAAAATTTAATCAAAGGGCGACAACAAAGTTATTACTTTGTTCATAAATGACTTACACAATTACTCCCCTTGATCTACTTTCACTTTCAATTCTAAAAATAGAATTTAATCAAAGGGCATAAAATAATCCTCTTTCTTGGACTTGAGTATGTTCTAAAGAATGTAACATTTATTTACACATGTTTCATTCATTGGTCAAGATTCTTAACTGTGATAACTATGGTGTTCTGTAGACTTGGTATTTGTTCATAAAGATCATACAGTAATTACCTTATCAAATGTAAATACTTTCCCATAGAAATTTAATTATATTTTAATTTTCAAGTAAATATCAGTTCAGCTCATTCAAAGATTAAGAATTGTAATGAAACGTATTTCCCTAGAATAAAATCTTAAATCAGAATTTTTTAGTTATTAAATTACAATTACATGTACTTTTTATCTTCCCTACTGATTTGTTTTAAGGTTCATTTAACAACACAGTGCCAAGGATAAAAACTTGCTTGCTAGATAACACTTATCCATAATGCCCCCATCTCCATCTAAAGCTTTCGTAAACGGGCGTATTTTGTGACTATGGCACCCTTGTATATACTGCTGATTGGATTGGCCCATGTTAGTGTAACAGACCTCAATATCAAGAGGTTGAAATTAAGCATGTAACAGTATAGTACTGACAATGATGAGGCCGTATTTGAAATGCATGATGCATCATGTCCTAGTTCTATACTTGTAGTGAAGATAATGCATTTTCTTACATGCCCATGAAAGTGAAAGGTAAGAAATAAATTATATATTTATACAGGTGGTGATAGAACCATTGTTTGAGGAAGATATCGAGGTTATGGGAGATTTGTACCTGGATACAGCCGAGGCCTACATGGATAAAGGTTATTATAAACAAGCACAACCATTACTGGAAATGTTGGTTAAGTCACAAAACTACCATCTTGTAAGTTACCCATCTGTCTAATTCTTTTTATTTTGTAATTTTCATATACGTTTTATACATACAGAACCATAGACTTATTTCATATAGCAGGCAGATAAACTGGCAAAACAATATTGGCTATCAAAGTCTTTTATTCTCAGTTTATTTGTTTCAAATAACAAAATCAAAAATTTATTTTACTTCCATGGACAACGATATTTAGATACTTTGCCTAATGCTTAACTGTAAAAGATAGTTTGATGCATGGCTAAAGATAGCTTTTTTTGAAAATCTGAATCACATGGCAGAATAAATATGTTTGCAATCAGATTTACATGCAAGAAATAACTTAAGTCAAAACTTTAGTCAGATTGTAAGTGATGTTTCACATAGACTTATATGAGACAAATCTAGGAAATGTCATAAAGCAAGCCTGTGGCAGAAGTTGCTTGTTATTATCACATTATATTACAAATGCAGAAAAAGCTGAAAAATGGCAATATGATAAATTATGGTTGTGTAGTGGGTCATCACTTTATGATTGAATTTTCTGTTTGCTACTATACATAGATTAATTTATGATCAAACATCACCACTGTAGGCTGCTGTGTGGTTACGGTATGGTGAATGTTTGAACAATGTAGGAGATTTGCATGGGTCATGTGAGGCTTACACGAGGGTGGTAGAGTTAGCTCCCTCACATATCGGGGCTAGAATGTCCTTGTCAGCCATTCAACAACAGATGGGCAAACATGACGAGGCATTAGAACTTTTACAACATGGTATGTCTGTATTATATCTTGATAATTAGTTAGTGATTGACTTTAGCTTATGACATCAGATAAAAATGACAAATCTGCTGTGGGTTTTTATTCTGGCCTACTTTGTTTTTATGCGTGAAATATAAAAGGAATTTAATTCACCAAATATTTGATTTCTTTGTCTCATTTAATGTATACAATATGTTGTCAATTTTTCGCAATTTTTCTTGAACATCTTAAGTCATCAAAATCATGTTCCGAAAGTGCTGTGCTAGGTAAACTTTTCATCCAAATTTAATGGTAGGAAATCTTGTAAGTATTAGAAAGGTATTGTTGAAAAAAAATGGGTAGATTGCAATTGTTAACTGATATAATAATACTGTTGTTCGATTTGATTTTTAGATGATGGAGAACAGAGAAAAATGAGCAAAGAGGCATGTATATTATTTCTACTTTTATGATTTATACATCTGTGTCACTGCATCAAGATAATAACAATTTGGAATATATTATATCTCTTAGTGTGAAGAGTTTGTTGTTTTTTTTGAGAAAAAGAATTCTTGCATATCAGACTGTGATTCTGTAAGTTTTACCCATGCCAGAAATTTCATCTGGCATAAGGGGTGCCAGATGAGTAGTGTGCTATACATATGGCATTATTAAGAATAAAAACTGCATGCTTAGGACGACATAATTTCCATTATCAATTTGAATTTGCAATTTCATATGCTGTTTTCAGAAATAGTTAGGGATGTGTTCAATAAATTTCTATGGAAAATTGTTTTATTGAGGTAAAGAATTTAAAATATGATGGAATATGGTAGAATATGCAAGAAAAAATATATATGACATGTTAGCAGTTCAGATCGAAATATATTATTATATTACTAGTTTTCACCCTTTTTTCCAATTGATAAACTTGTCCTTCTAATTATGTCTCCCAAAATTTTTGGGATTTTTTTTTGCCTTCGCCGTCTGTCCGGTTGTCCATCCGTCCGGGCTATTTAAGAGAAGTACTGGGCCATCTAACTGTAAACAGAACAAAAGAGAACAATAAGAGTTCATTCCGTAAAATTAGAATAAGGGGCCATGGCCCTCTATTAAACAAAAGAAAATAACAAAAGAAATGGCCCTTCCGGCGTCCGTCCGTAAACTTTTACTTTAAATGACATCTCATAAACCGCTGAGCCAATTTCATCCAAACTTCACAGGAATGTTCCTTTGGTGGTCACCTTTAAAAATTGTTCAAAGAATTAAATTCCATGCAGAACTCTGGTTGCCATGGCAGATAGAAAAAACTTAAAATATCTTCTTTTAAAAAACCCAAAGAGGTAGAGCTTAGATATTTGGCATGAAACATCTTCTAGTAAGTGTCTATCAAGTTTGTTCAAATAAAAGCCTTGGGGTCAAAATTGGCCCAGCCCCAGGGGGTCATTGATTTTCCCTATATGCATATAGTAAAAACTTATAAAATCTTCTTTTAAAGAACCCAGAGAACTAGAGGTAAGATATATAGCATGAAAGATCTTCTAATGAGTGTCTATCAAGTTTGTTCAAATAAATCCCCGGGGTCAAAATTGGCCCCGCCCCAGGGGGGTCATTAATTTTCCCTATATGCATATAGTAAAAACTTATAAAATCTTCTTTTAAAGAACCCAAAAAGCTAGAGCTAAGATATTTAGCATGATACATGTTCTAATGGGTGTCTAATGGGGGTCAAAATTGGCCCTGCCCCGGGGGTCATTGATTATCCCCCGCCGATGGAATCGGGAGGGGGATATAGTTTTGATGTTGTCCGTCCATCCGTCCGTCCGTCCGAATTTCGTTTCCGGAGTAGTTCTCTGCAACTACTGGCTGGAATTCAACGAAACTTTATGGGAATCATCAATATCAAGAGGAGATGCGCATCTGTCCGTCCGTTCGTCCGTCCATCCGTCCGTCCGAATTTCGTTTCCGGAGTAGTTCTCTGCAACTACTGGCTGGAATTCAATGAAACTTTATGGGAATCATCAATATCAAGAGGAGATGCGCATATCGTCGGCTTGTTCCGGTCAGACCCTTTAACTCAGAGTTATGGCCCTTGATTAGTTATGTAGTATGCATATAGAGTAAAATTCGTTTCCGGAGTAGTTCTCTGCAACTACTTGCTGGAATTCAACGAAACTTTATGGGAATCATCAATACCAAGAGGAGATGCGCATATCGTCGGCTTGTTCCGGTCAGACATTTTAACTCAGAGTTATGGCCCTTGATTAGTTATGCAGTATGCATATGGAGTAAAAATCTTTTCCGCGCTACTTCTTTGCAACTACTTGCTGGAATTCAACGATACTTTATGGGAACCTTCAATACCAAGAGGAGATGCGCATATCGTCGGCTTGTTTGGGTCAGACACTTTAACTCAGAGTTATGGCCCTTGATTAGTTATGCAATATGCATATGGAGTAAAAATCGTTTCCGGAGTAGTTCTCTGCAACTACTGGCTGGAATTCAACGAAACTTTATGGGAATCATCAATATCAAGAGGAGATGCGCATATCGTCGGCTTGTTCCGGTCAGACCCTTTAACTCAGAGTTATGGCCCTTGATTAGTTATGCAGTATCCATATAGAAAAATATTTGTTTCCTCGCTACTTCTCTGCTACTACTGGCTGGAATTCAATGAAACTTTATGGGATACTAAGAGGAGATGTGCATTTAGTCGCCTTGTTCCAATCAGATACTTATAACTCAGATTTATGGCCCTTGATTAGTTATGTAGTATGCATACATCTCATTGGCATTTCCAGATTTTACTATTTATCACAAAGTTATGGCTCTGTTATTGCCCTGAATATTTATCAAGTTCAAAGAATATTACTGTTTATGCCATGATTAATATATAAATAAAGCCTTATGTCTTCAGTTGTTGTGTTAATAATAACCAGTACCCGGCGGGGGATATAAATTCAACGAATTTGCTTGTTTTATTTATGTGTATAGCAAAAAATAAAAAAATCTTCTTTGAAAAACCCAAATAGCTAGAGTTAAGATATTAAGCATGAAACATCTTCCAGTTAGTGTCTTCAAAGTTTGTTCAAATAAAAGCCCTAGGGTCAAAATTGGCCCTGCCCCGGGGGACATTGATTTTCCTTATATGTGTATAGCAAAAACTTAAAAATCTTCTTTGAAAAAAACCAAATAGCTAGAGTTTAGATATTAAGCATGAAACATCTTCTAGTGAGTGTCTTCAAAGTTTGTTGAAAAAAGCCCTGGGGGCAAAACTGGCCTTGCCGTAGGGGTGTCATTGCTTTGAACTATATGTGTATAATTAAAACTTAAAAAATCATTTTTTAAAAAACTCAAGGAGCTAGACCTTAGATGTTAAGCATGAAATATCTTGTAATGGGTGTCTACCAAGTTTGTTCAAATAAAAGCCCTGGGGTTTAAACTGGCCCCACTCTTGGGGCCTATATACAGGTGAGCGACTTCAGGGCCATCATGGCCCTCTTGTTTCTATACTCCTGTGAATATTGTTTGATATAAATCACAATGAACAAAAGTTAAACAAATAGTTGTTCTGTCTCTTTGCATGAACTGATTTTCATGTTAACATTAAAAACAGGAACAGCAGATGTTACTACAGAAATGTCATCTTCTTCATGCTCAGGGAAAACTGGATGAATTCCTCGAGACAGCAAAACAATTATTGTTTCATGAGTGGAGGGAGATAGAGGCAGAAAACAGTTAGTCTTTATTTTTTGATGTACATATTGATTATTATTTCAATCATCTTTGCTTTATAGTACTAGTAGTGTTCAATCATATATTTATATCTAAGATATAATGTCTGAAAAATAGAATGTTCGGTAGTCTTTCTGATTTTGAAATATATTTTTTTTCCAGTGTTCATCTAGTGCATACTTGATACTCATGCAAAAGATTTATTATATATCTACAATGCAACTGCCACAGAGCCTCTTGTAGAGGAATTTATATTTACAACAATATCAACTTCCAACTTTATTAGATTTAACTTATTTAGAGCACTCGTATAAGCAACAAAATATTGTCTCCCTAAAGAGTTTTGTATTGTAAAGGTTGAACAGCATACATTATAATTGTTTTTGAGAAACATTTTTGTTTGAATTGTTTTTTTTTTTTTGGTTTTATTAATAGACAGTATTTGTCTGATTGGATTTACTAAAAAATCTGAAAAATAGACATGGATTTTCTATTATTTTTACAGTGAGTTATTTACAAGCCATACGGACATACAAGCACAGAAAAGATAGCTTGAAAAGTCATTTCCAGTTTAAGGGAAAAGATACTAAACTTGGTAAGTGGGTCCGAGTTTTTGTTGTCAACCATCTTGTATAGAAAGTTAATGAAATTTATGGAATAAATAAGCAGATCTGATATGTGTGGATATTGAAATACCTCTGATTTTATTTATGTTGATAGCTTAGTAATAGTTTTTTACAATTAAATTGTTGTAAACCTGGTATCATTGAAATTTTGTTTAAAGTGATTATTTCTTTTACACACCAACAACAACAAGTATTTCATACACTTGTGACAATTTTGGATAATAAAAGTAGTACTATTTTTAAATACCTTTGATATTTTTTTTGTGTTTATGTAAAAGCCACTTATCATGTGTCAATTATGCCACACTACCAATATTTACAAAGGCATCATAAAAGAACATCACATGCCTGGGGCTATGTCCAGCCTGTGTCTTTACTATTGTGTTAAAGTCTTATCTGTTTGTTAAGTGTTAATTACTACTGATCCAGTTAATGTCTCATTTAAGTACAATTGCAATTACCACATTGTACATACAGTGTATAAATGTGTGATGCATAAATTTCTCCAATATATGTTGTCTGCTAGATTAACAATAGTTACATGTTAGAATAAGTTATCATTCTTATTAATCTATACATATTTTGTTCTTTTTATAGTAATGTTAAGAAAAGTCATGATTCAGTGTGTATTTTGCTATTACTATTCTTGTATTATCTTAAAATATTACTATAACAACCAACCATATTTGATTTGATGAAACTTTAAAGGGTCAATGTTTAGACCAGAATTTAAAACACTTACTACTTACTTTACCATCATGAAACTTATATCATAAGAAAGAGAATTTTATGTAGATTATGATCCCATGCTTTCTATTTTATTTTATTGTATGAGTTTAAAGATACAGCAAGTTATTTAAAATTCCTTTGTTTAGAATTAAAGGGGTGGAGCCTAATTGTTATGTAAACAATGCCTTAGGTGTCAATCAGCTGTCAATCTAAAATAAGGCAAACTCCTTACTAGGGCTTATCAGCCAATCAATTTTGCTGTTTTATGTATTAATATGTAAAACTAATTTTGATTGGTCTGTGCAAATTAGCCAGTTACAATTCTTCTCAAGACTTTTATAAAAAGTGCTGCACAGGGCTTATCAGGGAATAGGATTTACAGTCATTTGAATTGTGTTGGGTCCCTCAAGAACACTTGTGTAAAGGAGGAAGAACAACTTCTGAAATAATGACTGCCAATTTCATTGATGCAGTCTGCCGAATGAAACAACTTTTTGTTGTGGAATTAACAGTTACTTGCTAAAGAATAAACTTGTATATAGTTTCAGGGTTGACGTCAGTGAAGAAGACGTCACTTGCTATCTCGTTTGCTGATTTGTGGGATGTCTTTTTACTGGTATGTTGAACTTGTAAACTTTTATTTTTATTCATCTTTTGCCTTAAGATTCACATTCTTTTCCTCCCTCTTGATTAAATTTAGAATTTTTTATTTAAGGAAAAACTTGTTGTTTTTTTTATGAGTGAGTTTTAAAAAAAAAAAAAAAAAAAAAAAAAAAAAAAAAATATTGTCACAGACTTATGAAAAAAAAATGCTAATACATATCTTGAAGATTGTTTTGCCATCCAGTTGAAATATTTCTATTATTAAACTATTTTTCTATTATTAAACTTGATGTTTGATAGTGATACACATAATTCTTTGTTTTTACTTTGAAAGGAATAATGCGACCTTATCTTAATGTGTATGTCAGCTTTGTTTAAGCTGTATTTGTATGACAGTAAAATTTTAATTGTTGTTACAGTTAGGGAAATCACTGAATGTTTATTGTTATTACAGTTAGGTAAATCACTACTAGAGAAAGGGAGATTTACAGAGTTTGAAGATGTTACGTTACTCGGTATGCTGTGTCCGCTATTCAATCAAGATGAAAATTTGTTAGCTGTAAGTATATAATATCATAAATATGTAACATTTTTTGGTTCACTATTCAAAGAATGGTTGAGCTATTCTTCTTTCTGACTTAAGGATTATAAAAAAGTTTATCAATATCCAGTCTGTTTCTTGTTGTAGTTTGTAGCATGGTACTCTGTATTATTGACATACTTAAGGTTTCCTATATGTCTGCATTGAATTTCATTGATGAATTTAATAATTTTTTGCATTGAATTTTTTTGATGATTTTATTAATTAAATTTTTGTGTGAAGCAGAACAAATTCAACTAATCATTACGTTTTCTACTGAATAAGGTCAAAGATTTTTAACTTTAACATATGCATCACCACACATGATAAAATACTGTCATACATTTGCCCTTAAATTATAGCACATGCGACATTTTTGATTATCATTCAAGCGCTAACATGATTAAAAGTCCACCAATAGCATAAATACACAAAACATTTCCTCATTTCAAAGGATGTGATTCCTTGTATTGAAAATTTTATACAAGGAAAAACAACACTGAATTATCTCATTCAGGTAGCTAAATAACTGTGAGATGGCTCTACCCAGTTGTTTGTTGGGGGGCCTTAATAGATAGAGAAGCATCTTTTGATCTTTTTCCATTAGTTAAAGTTCGACAGAAGTCAGATGACATCAGTAGATATAAAAATATTAGTTTTGTATTAAATTGTTGGGTGATTCACATATTGCTGGCTAAATATATAATACTGTAGATATAGAGATTGAAATGCATAGATTTTATGAAAGAAAATGACTGTTTTAAGAACAAGTTTTGTTTATTTGTAGGATTTTGAGTGGTTTATACTAAATGCTAAGAACAAGTTTTGTTTATTTGTAGGATTTTGAGTGGTTTATACTAAACGCTGCTATAATATCGGGAAACCAACTACGTTCCTATGCTTTTGGTAGACAAATAGTTCTAGATGTAAGTCACTTATATTACCCAGTATCGTGGTCTTTTCTGTAGTGTCCAAAGATATATGAGATTAAACCAGTTCGAAGTGATATTGAAATAATTTTCTTTTAAGTTGTTGATGAAGAATTGCATGATCTAAATTATTAACTTGAGATTATCTTATTGAATAACCAAACATACCCCTGCTACTTAATGACAGCCAAGAAAATAAACAAGTATGAAGAAATACAAAATGTACATAATATGCAGATTTTAACAGGATTTGTTGTAATTACATTCATTATGAAAAATGTAAAAAAAATGTAATCAACCATCATATCAGTGTTGTTTGTATTGTACACATTAACTTCAATTAATTTAATATGAGCAGTTTGGATATTCTTGAAACTCTAAAACAGATTATTTTCATTATTTATTGTTGATATAGAATTTGGAGTCGCCTCAAGCGTGGAACATGTTTATGCAGGTGATAATGGTGTGCAATGATCAGAGACATAACAGGTTCTGTCTACGAAAAAGTATGACTGTAAGTTTAAACATGCAAGTTTTGCTATTAACATGAGCCACGTCATGACAAAACCAACATAGTGCGTTTGCGACCAGCATGGATCCAGACCAGCCTGCGCATTCGCGCAGTCTGATCAGGATCCATACTGTTCGCTTACCAACTCTATTACAAGTGGAGAAACTGACAGCAAACAGCATGGTAGAAAACCCATTATGTTGGTTTTGTCGTGACACGGCTCACATGTACATTACAACTTTAAGAATGTAGATTGTGACTTTTTGTCTAAAATTCTGCACACACACTATTCTCCTATTTAACAGAGCATTAATTCATTACAAAATGTATGCAAGGCATAAAAAGTGAATAAACCAAATGATGTTAAGAAAACCAAAGTCAAAAAACAGCGAGACATGCATAGTAATTTGGTACCAAATGGTCATCTACGTTTGATATGCGTTCTTTCATCAGTGAGCTTTAATGATATCTGTATATTTCAGGAGCCAAACAACATAATTTTGGGCATCATGAACGGGCACAACTCAATGGCTTCTGGAACATACAAACATTCACTAGGTGAGTTTTGAAATATGGAAAAAAACTTGGAGAAAATCAGAAAAGAAATTCATTTTTGTAGAACCTCTTGCCTGATTTTCTCTTTAATCTTACCAATCATTACATTAAACATGTAATTCACACACAATTGGCCAATAACTTCTTTTTCACATACAGACATGAATTGGACCCAAACTGTGAACTTCAGAATATTTCATTGCAACTTTATTTTTTAAACAGTTGGATGGAATTGGGCAATAATGACTTAAAAACATCTTGCTTGAAATTTTTTTATTATTTTGGAAATAATTATGTACATGTATTGTTTTACTGGAAAAGCTGTAAGATATTTTTTTTTGTATATTAATTGCGTTGTATTTGCAGGTGAATATGCCAATGTGTTTAGAAGAACTCCTACAGATCCAATGCTTAGTCTCTGTATTGGATTAGATTTCATACATTGTGCATCACAGAGATTTGCTGCTAAACGACAGTATCTTATTACACAGGTAAATGTTACATGCTTGTTGAAGTATCTTATTATGCAGGTAAAAGTTACATGCTTGTTGAAGTATCTTATTACACAGGTAAATGTTACATGCTTGTTGAAGTATCTTATTATGCAGGTAAAAGTTACATGCTTGTTGAAGTATCTTATTACACAGGTAAATGTTACATGCTTGTTGAAGTATCTTATTATGCAGGTAAAAGTTACATGCTTGTTGAAGTATCTTATTACACAGGTAAATGTTACATGCTTGTTGAAGTATCTTATTATGCAGGTAAAAGTTACATGCTTGTTGAAGTATCTTATTACACAGGTAAATGTTACATGCTTGTGTTAGTGTCTTATTGCACAGTTTTAACATCATGGTGCACTACTGTTCACAATAGATTAGTCAGATAGGTCATTGTGTGAGAATTGTATTACAGTTTTCAATTCAACAACATTTTATGCAAGGAAAAGTTTTACAACATTTTCGTTTTTATGCAAGATTTTTATTCATTCAAGGAAACAGACTATGTTGATGTTTAAACTATTGGATATCACATGGAACAGTTTAAGATTTAAAACGGAGCAAGTTTACAATACAAATTAAGCATTGAAAGAGTTAAGAATTTTTTTTATCAACATTAAAATTTTTGTAGTTGAATGTTCTTTTTGGTGTCTAGTTTGCAAGTTGTTTTGTTAAATGTTTTTCAGGGTTTGGCATTTTTGAACAATTACATCGAGCTTCGTGGAGAATGCCAGGAAACATACTACAATATGGCAAGAGCCCTGCATCAAATAAGTAAGCATTGTTTTGTTTTCATAAAATTTTGGTGGAATGGAGAATTGGTAAAGTTTGTGTGCTCTTTCAAATGATAAATGACAAATGGTAGAACTAAGCCAACATAATGATGTTATAACTTTATTTGCCTCTACAACAATGTTATTCTAACCGAACTCTTGGGTGTTATTTGCCTAGTTAAACTCTTACCTGCTATTTGCTTAGTTTAATACTTTTAACTTTGATGATATTGAGATTGTAATGGGAAATTTCTAAATGAAATCAATCTCATTCTGAATTCACTAGGAACAGGTTAAAAAGAGGAGATTTGTATTGTACTAATATTGAAGCACATATTTTCCACAGTTTTCTGGTTTTGTTGCTTTGAATAAATGTTACAGAACTCTGGCTAGGATTTTTGTTACCTAAGAATTTTAAATGCAAAATACTTTCTGTTACAATGTCAAACCTTCCTCTTGTGTATAAAATAATTTTGTAATGATTTCAGACATCTTGTATGCCGCAGTTCATTACTACAAGAAAGCCTTGGAATATCCACCATGTGTTGGAGATAGGAGGGTAAGATAAAAGTGTCAAAAATTGTAATTAATTTTTATCTTTATGAGAGTATGTTTGATGAAGATACATTACGGGGACTTGATCACCATACTTAGGAGATCTTAAGCACTCGTTACTCTTAACTATGAGGTTCATTATTGACAAATCTTTTCCACCTGTAGAATATGAGGCCATCTTGCATATCTGTTCCCATTGTGGGTGAGGGGTTACCTTTTTGAGGCACCAGAATTGCAGCCACCATTTAGCTGTGCGTGATCGTAAGAGGCGGCTAAACTGCTTTAAATTACTTGAGTATCTTTTGGCTCCAGGAGGAGAAAAAAGTTATGTCTAATAAAATTATTATAAATTCATAGAGTGTTAGCCAGGAAAACACATCATGTATTTAGTATCGTTAGTCAGTATTGCCAAACTTTTACACATGAAGACCCTTTTTGCCCATTTATTTTGTGTTATAGATGTTTTTGTTACTATGATAATGATGTTTGTTTCAGGGAATGTTTGACTTGACGATGGAGATAGCCTACAACATGGCCTTGATCTACCAAAACAGTGGAGCCATTGATTATGCCAAATACTTACTGTACAAGTACTGTGTCATCTGAAGAGATTGAAGAAAAAAACTAACAACAAAAAACAATATATGAAATTTATCTCATAAACTTGATAACCCTTACTGCGAGGAGAGTCGGGTTAAAAGCTATTGGTCTGTAACAGAGAACTTTGGAGGAACTGTTACTACTAGATCAGGATTTTGAAAGTTCTGTTTTTGAGAGTTCTGTCGACGGACTGGCGAATGGAATAGTAAGAGATCAATGGAAAAATTCTTAAGGACCCAGGTGATTCTTTAAAAGGAGCAGAGACAGACAGTAAGAGTTAATGACAGTGTGGCCGGAATAATGGGAGAGTATCCTAACATTTCTTGTCGAGAATTAAGAACAGAATAATTTAGTTAAGTGACAATTTGGTTGGTGTTGTGATTCTATTATTAAGTGTATACATATTGAATGATAAACAGGTAAAGTGTTTGTAGAAAAGTGTAATCAAAGAACACAAAAGAACCAAAGTATCAGCAGACAGGTTTGTCTTTGAAAAGTTCTGAGTTATGTTTTTGTTAACTGTTCACTCGTTCTTAAGTTTTTATCCTGATACACAGTTGTTGAACAGTGATTTTCATGTTATTAAATGATAACATCACTTGATATTTTGTATAGGGGATGAAAGCCTAGGAATTTTGATGATTTATCTTCTAAACCTGGCTTTTTACCAATTTTAACAAATGTTAAATTGTTGTGTGCTTTTCCTATTTGGAATGAAGTTTGAAACAGATCACTTATTTAAGTAAATGAAATGATTAAAATTGATCACTATTTGCTCTCCTTACTACTGGAAATGGTAAAAAGCCAAGTTTGATAGATTATTAAAAAATTGATTATTGGTGTTGATAGATGCCTCGATGTAAATGTCTCAAAAATGATGAAGATTAAATTATGTACTTACATTCTTTCTATTTTAGAATGAAAACTTTAAATGATAACATGTCTTATATATTAAAGACAATGAAAGGCATCTATGAACATAAATTAGATTTAAAAAAAAAAAAGGAAAAAAAAAAAGAAGAAAAAAAAAGGAAAAAATAAACTAAGTAAAAAAAACCCCACAAAATAATTGAAAATAACGAATTTAGGGTTGATATTTTGCAAGGATATACATGTATAATTATACAGACTAAATTATGTTTTTAATGTAATGTATGAAAGTGATAAAATACTTCTGGATACAGTATACACAAAAAAATTCTTGATACATTATACAAACTATCTTGTTAAGGATTACTTTTGTTTATTTGAAACATGTTTTGTCTGAATGTAAGGCTCTATATATATATATCAACCCTATTTCTTTTTCTATTGAAGTTTTAAGATTTTCTGTTTTAGTTTTTTGTTATCATAGATCATATATCATTTTTTGCAAACCATTTTCTGCATGTAATAGTTTCAAAGAAGTGGTGCATGTAATTCTTTGAAACAACATAGGATTTTTTTAACACATTTGATATATTGCATTATTTTGCTATAACAATTAATACATATGCTTAATAATGAATTTTAGAGATACAGTTAAAGAGTTGATATACAGTGCTTTTTTTTAGTTTCATGGGAATGAATGGTGGCTGGTTCCATGGAATGCAAACATTGCATAGTAGAGTGGAAAATTTAGAAATAGAGAAAAACAATCCATTGTGATACAAAAACCATCGTCATTTCAAAACTACAAATCTTTTCTCTTTTGGTAAAGAATTAATTTTTTTTAAGGAAATAAGTTGATAGAAAAAATGCTGGAGGATAATTTTTTTTATCAGAAAATTTGGGGGGGGGGGGGGGGGGGGGGGTAATAAATAAAAACTTTTTTGAGGATAGGAATGGGCCCCAAAACAGTCCTGAAAAAGCACTGATATATACATTTTATTATAATGATGTTTATTAGTAAGGCACCCATATTTTTTTTGTAAGAGTTATCTGTAATATTGTATTTATTATATTTTTGTTATGTTTATCAGAATTTTGTAAAACAGCTGGCTCTAATATCTATACAATTATGTAAAGTAGACTTGATAGATTATGCATGCTTTAACAGTAAACAAAATATGGTTAAATTTTAGCTCTGGAAAATTGATGGAATTGAGTGAACAAAATCTAGAAATGGTAACTGGTTATTAAAGTGTAATACAAAGGTATTAGATAATGAGTACATTGTGTTGAATTAGGGATATTTTACTGATCCTGTACTGATCAGTGATAGAAAGTCAGAATCACAAATAGCAACATGTTCTGTTCTGCTAGATATGTTTTCGCCACCCTCTGTACTGATTTGAATTTCAATCTTGGCAAAGAAAGTCTATCCACATTGATATTCCAATTTATGGTTTAGTTAAGTACAATATTTCATTTCTTTTCTGAGAAAAAATTATGCAAAGGAGAGTTAAAATTCTCAAATTGCAGATGTCTGCAGTTATGTTTGAAGTAAGTTTTATATACATGTATATGTTTAAACTAAGGGTGATTAATGGCACAATGTAATTTTGAAGATAAAACATTAGTGACAACTAGCAGCAAACTGAACACTACAGATAAGGCCAATTTTTCAGTTCTTGAATACTCCTATTTTTTTTCAAAGATTGCTTAAAACTTTCGTTTGTAGTTACTGGAATTGACATGATAATAACATCAACTTTATTGAAATTTTCTTGTTTCCCAAATGCAAAAGGCACTAGTTGGTGTATAGAAGGGGACCGTATAGAAGTACATAATTTTAATGTTGTGCAACAATATAACTAAAGTGTTTATATGGCCATCAAGTTATTTGGTGTATTGGGTCTGAACAATCTTAGCTTGTAAAACAGAGTAAGTGAAACACAGATGTCTGAGTCGTAATTGGACTTTTATGAAAGTCCAAAGAGTTATTATGTACATTTGGCATTTGATATGTAACGTGATTAAAATGTCACAAGTTAGCAGTGTAAAAAATTAGTATTTGATCCACTAGGCTGGTCGGACTACCAGATTGGAATATTCACTAGCCCAAAAGACATTTCACTAGCACAATTATTTTTTCAAAACAAGTTGTTTATAATTTCCTCTGGGAAAAACAGAGCCTGGGGCGGGCTTGTTACTGGTTTAAAAGTTTGGGGGAGCCCGAGGAGAAATTTAGTATCAGGGGCTATAGACTATTGCCCAAAATTTCGAAACAAAATGATTTTGGAACTTAATTTCTGAGGGGGGAAAACCCATTGTTAATAATTCTTTTATCCATAAACCCAAAAAAGGAATTAACTTTTTTTTTATTTTCAACAAATTTTGGGATTTTTTTGGGGGTTAAAAAGGGCTTAAACCCGGAAACGGCCCCAAAATTTCCCGGGAAAACGGGCCGGGGAAACGGCGGGGGAATTTCCCAAATTTGACCCGTTCCTTTGTAAAAATTAAAATTTTTAAGTTTTTTCCTTTTCAAATTTTTTAAAATATAAAAAAATTTTCAAAGATTTAAAGAAAAATTTTTATAAATAAAAACGCTTTTGATTTTTTAACAAAGATTCCCAATATGGCCCAAACTACTGCCAAACTGCCCGTGACCCGGGAAACGGCCTGTTATTTCGTTGTTTTTAGCAACTTTTAATTTTTTCCCTTTTGGGGATGTTTTTATAAAAAACCCAAATATTAAACATTAATCTTCCCCAGAGATTTTTGGAAAAAAAACCCCTTTTAAAAAAAAAAATAATAAAAAAAATATTTTGATCAGCGGGGAAAAAGGGGGAAACCTGCCGGAATTGGGCAAAGGATTTCCGAAAAACGGCCTGTAAATTTTCTTATTTTTATACTTTAAACAAAAAATTTTTCACCCTTGGGTAATTTTTAAAAAAACAAATGCAAAAGGTAAAGTAATCAGATTATTGTCAAAAAAATCCCCTTTTTTTTTAATTAAAAAAAGATATTTAATATCGGGAGGGTTTTCTGCCCTCTGTCGGGGAAACGGCGAAGGATTACCGGAATCCCACGTATAATTTGTTTATTGTACATTTTTTAAAAATTTTTCTGTGGCATTTTTAATATTTTGTTTTTAAAAATAAAAAAATTATTATGAAAAGATATTTAAAAATTTCTTTCTTCTTTTATTTTGGGAAATTTCAAAAACGCCTTTTGGGTTTTAAAAAAGCCCCCGGGGATCGAAGATTCGGGGAAATTAAAATATACTGTCAAAAAGCCCAAATAGCCCAAATGATTACCCGGAATCGAGGGCCCGTATTATTGTAAATTTAAAGGACTTTGCAAGAAAAAAATGAAAACAAAATCATTGGGAAACTAAAAAAAATTTCTGAACATGAAGAATCCTTATTAAATAAAACTAGAGTCTAAGGTCGGCCCAATTACTGCCAAAATCGCATTATATCAGTGTCAGGGCTATCGGACAATTACCGGGGGAATCGGTGCTGTTTTTCCCCACCAATTATTTCAACGTTTAAAAATAACCTTTGAATTTATTTTATTAATACAAACACAATAATAAACCGATTTTTATAATGTTTATTGAAATCCGTATTAAATTAAAAAGCAAAAGATTTTATGAAAAATCGCTGTTATATTAATAATAAAAGATTAATATTGAAAGATCGGCAAAACGGGAAACCTGTCGGAATAGGCGATGGATTACCGGAATCGGGACCTGTAATTTGGTTATTTGTGAACTTTTTGAATATTTCTTTTGCATGTTTTTATAAGATATAAACATTTCAACGATATTTTCATTTTTGTAAGTAAATTCGCTTTTAATTAATAAAACAAGAGACCTAAGATCGGCGAATTACTGTCATACTGCCGATTTTTATAGGGGGGGAAGCAAAGGATGGGCGGTGAGCCTGTTTATACTTATTTTTCTTGTTATTTTTTTAAAGCAAATAATATCATTGATATAAAAAAATTTTTATGAAATAAAGGTCACTCTTATTAATAAACTTGATTTTTTCAGATAAATAATTACCCTTCCCCCAGTGCCTAAATTAACAGGTTAAAAACCGGAATTAGTCTTGGGTTTTTGTCCCCACCGGTTTTCCCGGGGGGATTTAGGGTTTAACCCTCCGGTTTCCCCTGTCCCCTCCCGTCCCGTCCGTCCCCCTGCTGTCCGTCCCCCGGGCCCTTGGGTTGGTCCCCAGTGTCCCTCCCACAAAAATGGATCCCCCGGGTAACGCAAAAAAATACTGAAAATATTTTAAATGAAAAATTTATTATGGATAGATGGCAGTTTTGGAGATTTTGGGACGTCTTTTTCTTTTCTTCCTATTTGAAAATTCTGGTTGCGATGGCAACAAAATAGACTGGAAATATGGCAAATTTTACACATAACCTGGATCCGCGATACGCAAAAAGTACTGAAAATATTTTATGAAACTTGATATATGGATAGATGGCAGTATGTAGATTATGCACGTCTTTTTTCTTTTCTTCCTATGTTGAAATTTCTGGTTGCTATGGCAACAAATAGACTGAAAATATGGCAAATTTTACCACATGAACCTGGATCCAGTGATAACACAAAAAGTACTGAAAATATCGTTTATGAAACTTGACAATGGGTAGAATGGCAGTATGAAATTATGCAATTCCTTTTTTATCTTCCTATGTTGAAAATTCTGGTTGCTATGGCAACAAATAGACTGAATTTCAAGAATTTCTGATTCTAGTTTTTAAGTTTTTTCACTATAAGTTCTTTTATTTTTAAGAATATTTTCTCAAAACTTTAATATAAGTTGCTTGTCATCAACCACATCATATGTGACAAGGTTTTACAACTCTAGCACAAAATTTATCAGAATTACCTTCCCCTTGAACTTAAAATTTTCATGAAAAAAACATTGTTTTTTTAATAACTTCTTTTTCTGAATGTATCTACTTCAAACTTCATATAAATGTTTCTTATTTGTCACTCAACATTTGTGAGTGTTCAATACTCTAGCAAGACTATTTCCAGAATTATGCCCCTTTTGAACTTAGACTTTTTTTTTGAGAAATTGGTAATTTTTACTCCAACTTCTTCAAAATCATGATAGGATTTTAAAAAATGTTTATATTTTGATAACAGGGATGTTTAAAAAATAAACTTTAGAGTGTCCTTCAGTCCGTTTGTCTGTGCATAAAAACTGTTTACTGTGATCACTATTTTAAAGAACTTTTTCAACAAATTTACTTAAAATAGGAACCTAAGTGAATGGCCAATGGCCCTTCAGAATGTACTTGGGCTCTTACCGGTAGGGGACTTATGGATTGCTTGCAATACTATGATAATTGCTTGTTTTGTTATATTTCAGCTTTTTTTAAAAAATATCTTACCATATTTTATTAAATGCAAACAATTCAAATGATATTTAATAATATTAATGGTAATCGCTATTACATAATAAACAAGGTGATCTATGATTTCTTCCATTACTACCGAATCGACGAGCGATTACCGAATCGGTTTCACTT